TCGAATGTTATCAGTCATCAGTAATCAGATTACTCCTGGATTAATCCCGATGGCTATGGAAAAGATCAAGAAATTTGACCTAATTCTTACCGTCTTGGGTCCCAAAACTCCCCACAGAAATTACCATGAATGAATTATGAGGAAAAAAAATTGAATAAAAAAATAATAAAAAACAATCTAATTAAAAGCTATCTCTGACGATTAGAGGGAAAAAATAACCTATAACAAGGAGGATTATCCCGGGATAAAAGAAATGTGATACATGTGACTCATTGCTGCAGAGGGCTTCTGATAACAGGGTTATAGAAGGCTCCCTCCAGGCCCATCAAGCCGAAGCGGAGTTATCGCATGGAAGCCATTCGCGATAGAAGAGAATCGACGAAAATCAGCGAATTTCCGACCGAGGACTCCGCGCTCGATTCCGGACCATGCGACTTTAACAGGCTCGTCTTAACCAATCCCAATGGGATGAGGATGACGAAGGTGGCAACTTTCGTAATCCACATCTTCTTCAGCTATGAAAGAGGAGCAATCTAGGAACTCACGAACGATCGCATCGATCGAGGGGGGGTGGAAGTCAATGACGTTGTTAGGGCATCTGGGTCGCACGCTATTTGCATTCGCTGTGCCCGATGGAAACTTCTGATATGGGAAATGCAGTGGGAATATGTGCATGAGGTGATAACATTAATATTTAAAGTGTATATACCATAGCCATCCAGTTGGACTGAATCATATTGACGACCATTTCCTTAAGAACGTGAACGATGAGGTGAAATGTTTTTTTCAGTACTGGTTGGTATTTTCCCGTACAGTATCGCTGAAGAACACTTCCTTATTTTATTCTTACTTCCTTATTTATTATTTATTTATTCCTCCTTCGTTTCGATCGATTGATTGTTACTATGGGGCCGCGGTGGGGGGGGGGGGGGGAAAACGTGCATTAAGTTTTGCTATAAGATTTAAAATGAGAACCGATGAGCTGCGAGGTAAAATCTAAGTATTTAGCCGTTGGGTTAGAGTTTTTCTTTGCCGTCTATGATACAGTAACGACGAACTGCACTGCAGTTGGGAGTGCATCGATGGATGCGCCTCACTTATGGATGGTTTTGGAGAGTCCATTCTTTCCAGAATTATCATGCGGGAAAGCCAAATGGGAAGGATCCCCTATTCAAGAAAACGACAATGATTTGCTCGTGTGGCATTAACGATGGAAGAGGGAGGACCAGAAGTGCTTCAGAGATGCACTGCGAAAACCCCCTTATTGCCCTCACACCCGAACATGCAATAGTCCACTTAGAAGAATCCCTTGCTTCACCTAATTGCCCTCACCGATTGTTTGCCGTCACATTTGAGCCTCTCGATTGTGCTCAAATTTGAGCAGCTGATAACCTCGAGCTCTCGAGTTTGGAGCTCTTGAAGCTCCAAACTCGAGTCCTTGGACGATGAGGCACGATGCCATTCTAACGGGGCACGATGCCACTCTAACAGGGCACGATGCCATTCTAACGGGGCACGATGCAGACATGGGACTCGATTTAATTCAATTCCATTCTTCAGTAGGGAATTGGCGCTGCCAATCCGGTGATTCGGGTCACAAAATGCAATTCGTCAAAATTTTCAATAATCCCTTCGATGGAAACCTACACTTTTATCAGCTGATCGAGGCGCAGAGAGGCGAAATGGAAATGAGAATGTCACAAAACGGCCAGAAGTCGAGGAAAGGCGAAAAAGACTGCGCGGAGAATGGAATGACCGAAGACCGAAAACTCTCACTATGCTCATGACCTCGCCCCTCCATCCTCATAACCTCCCCCACCCCTCGGCATCTACGCGCAATATCTTATCATGCAATACACGGATCGATAACATTGTAGGCAGGAACATAATTAATGTGCGCGGGAAGGATAGCTTTCCAGGCGGCGAGAGCCCACATCGAGCCCATAGGAAGCTCATAAAAGGGCATTCATTAATTGACTCCCTCCGATCGACTCAGGATCCAATATTGCCGATAAGAAATTTGAACATTTGTGTATGGCACCTCTCCCACAGCAAATTCCATTTTCCTTTTACGAATCCACGAGGAAACGCAACGAATGCAATTAAACGAATTTAACGAATGCAACGAATGCAATTAAACTGGATGTTAAAAAAATTGAAATTCGTCCTTATTTTCAGCATCTTGCTCCTCGCCGGATGATGCAATCGCATTTAAACCAGCTGAATTAATGAATTCAAAACGCGAGTAAAGGGATCAAGCACTTGAAATCTCTCACGTTGGCAGGCCAATTGCATATATGCTTCAAATTCTGCTTCTCCTGTCCTCAAAGGACGCAATACTGATTTCCTAAAAAAAAAACCCTTACGAAAATGCCTAAAAGGATTCTTATATATTCCTAAAGGAATATATAGGAACATATAGGAATCCTATAGGTTCCCATAAGCCCCATGCGGTACAGTTTGAGACCTATATTGTTCCCTATAGAACCGATATGGTTCCCTGGAGGACCTGTAGGGTTCGCGGTAGGACCTATAGGGTTCTCTATGGGGCCTATAGGGTTCCCTATTGGACCTATAGGTCTCCCTTTAGAACCTAAAGGACCTGTAGGGTTCGCTATAGGGCCTATACGGAACCCTACAGGCCTATAGGGTTCGGTTTGAAGTTCTCCTCTAGGCCACTAGATGGAGGTATTGTGTTCTCGCATTTCTCAAAGGACACAGAAGTGCCCTCCTCTTACCCAGGGAATCATCTCTCACAAGAGATTACGTCCCCAATTGTCTCACTTTGCCTCATTGTAGCAATCAATAAACTTCGACACTTCCTTATTTGATATCCCCATCTTCCAGATAGAATCGTGGAGTCCAGACAAGAAATATGCCCATATTCCCTTTAAAAACCATGTACGAGAATGAGTAGATTTAATCCTAAAAGAGTTTCAGTAAAGAGACGATCTCACATGTCCTGTCGTTTGTTTCCTAAGTCGAGAGAAGAATGATAATTTTTGCTATCGGAGGAAGTGTGGGCGCTCAATCCAGCGGTATATGAGAGCCGGGGCAATAAATTATACTGACCCTGGCAGTACTGGTAATGCAAGTGCCCCTGCCATGGGAAAACCCCTTATCGGTAATTGATCTACACTAAAATGCTGTGCTAATATTGACCCCGGTCGTCCTTTCCGTCGTAATGCCTGGGTTTCGAAGCCCAAAAAATCCTCCCCGAATCCTATAGGTCAGGAGTCCTATAAGACCGTAGAAGTATCCTATAGGATCCTATAGGTTTTTCGTGTTTCAAAAACCTATAGGAAAGTCTATAGGTTTCCTATAGGACATTTCCGTAAGGGAAAAGGTCTCACCTTCGAGAATTCGCTGCATGCTTTTTTTCAATACTCGTAACGAGCGTTTTCCAGTGAGTCGACTACCCCGCGTGCAGTTTCGAAGAGAGCAAATACGAACGTCAAATTTTCGCGGAATTCCATAAATTAAAGGTTCATTTTAAGTTCATGGAATACATTTTGGAAAAAATGCGTGGTAGAAATTTGGTTTCTCGCGGTCCGTATCAGCCTAAAGGAAAAGTCAAGTAATATGTAATGTAAAAAGAGAGAGTACAGATAATTCAATCAGTTGAAAGAAGGGAATGTAATTATCCCACGGTTCTTCCTTTAGCAACGGCGGTCAACATCATTGAAATATATATATTAAAAATTCTCATCAAATCACTGCGACCCATCAGGATGGTTGTCCGGCAATACGTGTGGAAAAAACAGCGTACAAAAAAAACTGAACATTTATTTCCTACGTCCGGTGAATACGAACATTACCAAAACTCAAATCGACCCAAAAGTGGCTCTCGAGCCATGGGACGGGAGCAGCTGCTCTTTAGGGACCAGATCCATGTGATCCGATGCATCGGGACCAATTGGGTCATATTGAATTTCCATATGTTTAAAAGGACTTCTTCTTTCATTGGTACAGCACACAAAAAGTGAGTTATAAGTCCACACAGGGAATTTTTCTCGCATCGCATTAAAAAGTGCGGGGAGTAGTTGCGTGCATGGAGATCAGAAACTGAGATGCTCAAAGGCCCGAATGTTAAATTATCCTTTATTTAACGGTCCTTTAGGAAAGCTTGGGATTCCATGGGGGAAAAAGAGCTCTTTAGCTTAAAGGCCTCTTTATTCTCGCCTAAATGAAGCTTGTGCATTCGGGCCTCAGGATTTAACCTTGGGATGAAAAATATGCTCTGCTAACTCTAATGCAGCAATCACAAACTGCGCTACAGTAGGATTGCGTCGACGTCACTTATGGATGATTTTGGAGAGTCCATTCTTTCAGGAATTATCACGCGGAAAACCACGCGAGAAAGATCCCCAATTCAACAAAAACGACAATATGCTCATATGGAAGAGATTCACGGTGAAAAGCAATAAATTGCCTTCGCCTCTGAACGTTCAACTGGCCACTCGATTCCACTTAATTGTCCACACGGATTCGTTGTCGTCACATTAGAACAACGGATTACCAGCGAGCTTTCGAAGCTCAAAACTCGAGGGCAATGAGGCACGATGCCACTCCAATTGGCTCGAGGCAACGTAGGACTCGATTTCGTTAGAACATTGGTATTAGCGGATCTCGTGAATCGACTCACCACTGCATGGAATCAGCTCCGCTTCGTTAAAGTTCCATGGAAACCCTTTTTCTCGGCCGAGGCGCAAATCAATGAGAAAACATCACGAAATGGCAAGAAGTCGAGAAAACAGGAACAGGACTGTGGGGAGAATAGAATGACTGAATGAAGCTCAGTCGATGACCAACCTTCTACCTATCCATTACCCTCACCCGGAATCTACTCATGGCATCCGCCATTGTCACTTTGGGTCGATTGCATCGTACAAAGGAGCATAATTGATGGTCGAATGAATGACAGCTTTGAACGGGCCAGGGCCCTTATTGGCCTTCGTTTGCTGGCTCCCTTCGATGGACTGAGAACCCCATGGCATCGATTATTTAATCTTCCCTAGGTCAACCCCATGAATGATGTTTCTTTTGACGAGGTCGGAGCGATATCTCTTCATTTTCCGCATCCGGATCTTCCTCCCTCTCTTCTCTTTCAGCCCCTCCGAATAATTCAACCTCAGACCAAACGGAATACTTGATTCAAACTCTGCTTACCCTCTCTCCCTGGGAAACAATTCAGAATTACAATACAAAATATCACATATTAAAGAATTCCGTTACTTGCTGCAAACCAACACTTTTGCCCAAAAAAAAGTGTATACATTGCACATTTTCAAGCCCTTTATTTCAAAACATTTTGAAAAGATATGTTATGCAAAACTTTCCGTTTTATGAAAAAATTGTTGGGGACATCCAGAACCGGAATGGTGTCATTACAAAACGTCCATTGGAATAGATGAAACAGCTCCATTATTTGAGTCGCTTCTGAGGCTCCTTAAAAATCACTGCATGTTGCATTGTGCATCGGCGTAATGAGTGAGTCATTGCGCTGGTCGCAGGAGAAACTTTCAGGCACGTGAAACCGTTCTGCCTTTGTCCATGGTAGTCGGAGTTTGAAAGTCAGTTGGAACTCACTTTTCCCATGAGGACAAGATAAAGACGAAGGAAATTGTTGAATCATCTCACCCTCCACCTTCTGACTGCACCGGCTGACAGCGGCCCAAAATGCGAGAGTTTTGCATGGAGTTTCTTTGCGACCAGCATGAATTCCTTCTCGATCTCTTCTACACGAAGGGGCCCAGTCACCACTTCTCTCTGGTACCCTAGCGCATCCATCACATCCCCGCAAGCCCGTTCAATTATGGTCTTCTCCTTCGATCCCATTTCCCTTTTCCAATGGTATGGGTCGAACCCGGATGCGTTCCTGTACGTGGAATAATACTTGTACAAGGGCTTCATCTTTGGTTCTGCTGCAAAGTGGACCGAGATCCGTCTGTCTCCGTCTGATGGCCAGGGAATCCCCAGGAACCGATAGAGATCTCGCGTGACCTCAGTTGGATTCGACATCAAGTCCTCGTAGCTCACTCTCCGCCATCTGTATGCATAAACAAATTAAAATTCGAAGCACACGCTGGAAATATATTCACCTTAGTTTAACTAATACCCCTATTCCAGCTGTGGTTCTGTGAATGTACATTTCTTCTCTCTTGTTAAGCTTAAAATGAATTCACGAATAGGTTTCTTATATTATTTTCTCCTATCCCGTCCCTTAGTACTACTTCCCACGAATCTCATCCTCATTCGATTTACTCAATGTAAAAAGTAAAAGATGATTGAGCTTCACGAGAGAGAGCTCAGATATTCTAACTGATGGAAGTAAGGGAGAGTAATTAGACCTTGAAGATGAAATAGTAAAAATTTGCAGCAATAAATAGTTGAAAAATTAGACTCAGGAAGTGGAAAACCTACCAGTTTTCATCCTACAGAGCGAACGACCATTAAAGGAGAATATAATGCTCTTTCATAGCCATTGTCCCGAATACCTTTAGAATTTTAATAACTTTAGAATCTAACTGCGTTGCCCTGTTAGCCTTCGCATTACAGCTAATACTTCCTCAATGTTTAACATTTCCTCCGTTGTTAAAAAAAGGGAAGATTCTATGAAAACTCAACTTAAGGTGAGTTTTCTTATTCCCCAAAAAGTGGCGTTGAAGCATTACCGATTGGGGGGGAGACTGTCGATGGCGAGTATGTCGTGCCCAATCTGATCGCACAGCTGCCACGGATCCCTCTGGAAGTCGTCGATCAGCGGCGCGGAGCGCATGGAGTTGAGCATCCCGCGAGGGTCTCGGACCCAGTGCACCACCTGAAACAGGAGGTCGGGGATGCTTCGTGACTTTCGAATCCTCGTCACTTTCGGATTCTCTGAGGACATTCTTTGCAACAAAGCGGTCTCGCAAATGCAATCTCTGTCGTGGCGATTGGAATAGTCATCGATGTCACGTTGATTCCCAGAGCGACCAAGTTTGGGTGAATTCCAGACTTGAACGAAAACGTCTAGCTAATGAAACTGAAGATGCGGCATTCGGAATTTTCATTACCACTCATTTGAGCCGCTTGCCCGAACGAAGCGATTGGAAGGGTGATTGCCTAATCGAGTCCGCACCTTGATGTCATCTCTGGATCGGAGCCAAGCCAAAGCGTCGTGGTCGAGCAGGAAACGGATCACCTTAGCCACCTGAGGTCTGTCGGAGCCGTCGCAGGGCGGGTGCTTGTAGTACTTATTCTTCCAAAAAGAGTTTCGCGATGACTCGGGGAGGAGTATGTTCACGGCGTGCATACTACAGTTGAACAGGCTGTCTAAAAGGTAGATGGACATCAGGCTGAACTCTTGGCGCAAGTCCAGCTTCATGGCGTCCTTCGCGAAAAACAGGGGTTCGAAGTAGTACCTGAAAGAAGCACGCCAGTCGTGAATATGATAAGATAGAGAAAAACTTGCCTATATGATACGTTTTGCGAATTAATCTGAGGTTGTGATGAGGGTTGTGAAGAATCTTCTTGTCAGACTTGCGTCGTGCATGTGCGCCAGATCCCTCAATTTATAGAATTTATATATCATACAGAAATTTTCAGTAGATAAAACGTTAAAAAATGAACACTTGAAAAAAATTTTCATTACAAAATTAGCATCTTCCGCATCCGAAAACGCATATTATTATCCTCAAGATTTCGTTGACTATTAGGATTATGACATCGTTGATATTTTATAGTACCTAATACATCTCGAGATACTCGATTAACTTTTGAAAAAGTTACAAATTTCATTCAGACTATACCTTGCGCCCGGCGCTAGAGATAGGAATTCCCCTGCAAGAGAGGAACCTGATCGTCCATAGGCGATTAAGAGGACCTTCACAGAACTGTTGCTCAGGCCGATTTCCTGCACTTTGCTCCTATCGGCGGTCGGGATTGGGATCCGCACGACTCCATTGAGGCCCGACACTAATGGAAACAAGTAACGTAACAAGTAACGGAAATCAGGGCATTCGAAACCGACACCTTCGGTGACGAAATTTCGAGAGCGGAACGGTTATTTTTCTGACTTGTTAATTTTTTTACGCACAGACGTTTCCCTGCTCTCGGTGAAAGTGATTAAGGAATTTCTTTAAATACTTGAATTTGGAGTGCCATCTAATTTTTTACAGGAAGTGGGCAATCGTGCCACACCCAGCAACCTGGAAGGCATTTGATACAAGTTCTTATATGGCTGTCGCTCTCCCAGACACCCCACGCGTTTCTTTCAAAATACCGCGAGACGATTGTGCATTTGTACATCAAGTATTAAAGAAGTTAAGGAAAGGTTGAGGGAACCCTTTGATCTTAGCTTCGCCCGCCCTCGTCTGGGAATAGAGTAGGAATAGAGGGGAAACTCACAGGCGAGGCTGAAGTAGAGAAGCGCCAATGCGAGCGTAGAAACGAAGACGGGGAGAGGCCGGATGCAAGCCATCCCCGGTCCCCAATGCTTGCCTGTGCCGCCATGCCCGTACGTGTCTCGCTTCATTTGCCAGTAAGCAGTGATAAAATAAGACGTAATTAGGTGATATTGAAAACATTGTTGAGATACTCTCAGATTCATATTTGCATACGCCGATGTAAAACACTGAGAGACGAGTTTACTAGTATTATCCTAGAAGTCAATCCTCCTTTCTTTCTTTACTTTCTGAAGATATCCGGGTGTGGTTGGAGCAACCGAGATCGTCAAATGCAGTTTTTACCGTTTTCTCCCATTTACTGTCTTCAAAGCTGAAAGAAATTGTTTAAATTTAATGGAGTTACACCTATTCAGTTCAACGGGATTGCTGTGCCGACCACAATTTTACGAGTAATGTGATTGCAATGGAGTGTAATCTTTTCCCGAACTTTCGACACTCGTCCTGGTCTTAGCTTCAGAAGAGAGACTCACCCAAAACTTTAGACGAGTCATGATCGTCTCTTCAGACCGACGAAGTACTTTTCTGAAAGTACTTATCAGTACCAATAGTACCAGCTTCAGTCTCCTGCCCTGTAATAGAGACGGATCCACGCTCGGATCTTCAAGCGTTGCAATTGACGTCATGGACAACCAGGTCCTTGGGAGTATCAATTTCTGCAAGGGCAACAGGGGAACAGGTCGATCCAGGTGTGAATGGAATTGAAGGGTGAACGGATCGTTAGTCCCCTGGGCATCGCTCATTAACGCGATGCTTTCGACTGAATCGCTTGGGGTGTGACCCCCTCGAATTAGTCCTACCGTGGTGATGACCGGTCGGGTTAATCATCCCACAACCTGATAGAGGAATCATTTCAAGTTTCGACCGGGAATAGAGTGGTTTTTATTAACCTGCGAATGAAAATGACAACGGGCACATTTTCAGAATGAAAACAAATGAGAGTAGACAGCATAGTAACTTTCACCGGTTGGCAAGTGGACATACCCCAAGTGACAAGTCAAGGTGAAAAATTACCGTTGGTAATTGTTATTAATTGTTACTAACAAATTGTTACTAACTAAATCGCGAGTTCCTAGGACCAATTGGCTCGTCACCAATTCCTGCGGGCTGCCTTTTGATTCGGAATGGCTTCTAAGCACGTGCTTCAACATCTTCAACATCAAAAAGTAAAGGCAATTAAAAAAAATTAAATCTAGAAAAGGAAAGTGTAGAAAGTTCCAGCATCATTTTTCAATTTCGTCCTCAAACAACACCTTCTGTTTTGGAACTGTTTGGAAACCCACCTTGCACAAACTTTGCGATATTTCAGGTCGTCGTGCATGGTCTAATACGTCGACCCGTAGCCGACGTCTAACAACCCGGTTCCGCCACTTCTAAACCTTTCCGCCACTTCTAAACCTTTCCGCCACTTCTAAACCTTTCCGCCACTTCTAAACCTTTCCGCCACTTCTAAACCTTTCCGCCACTTCTAAAACTTTCGCCACTTCTAAACCTTTCGCCACTTCTAAACCTTTCGCCACTTCTAAACCTTTCCGCCCATTCTTCCACCTTCCTTCGAGTAATGCACTTTTCTCACTGCACTCCATTCTCCTCATGACCACAAAAACCGATCGCAGCACGTCCTTCATTGACGGCGCATCCAGGGCCGACACGCTACACACGCCGAGCGGAGGCAGCTGGCAAAAAACGCGTTTTGCACTTGTCCAACTACGTATTACGACGTTCGGAGCGTGTTCTGTTATGCTGTTTTAGTTTTACAAGAAAAAATTGCCTTTACTTTTTGATTTACCATCGTTATTTTATTTGTTTATTGGCTATTAATTATTAAGTATTTAAGTATTTCACAAAATAGGCTAATTCCTTCGTGAAAAAAAAAATTACCAGCAAGCCCGGTTATGAAAATTGAAATTAATACCTAAGCAAATTTCCCCTGTAGCCATCCGGAAAATACACCGGGAAAGAAAGTACCCCCTCTTGGTACTGAACATTTTGCACAATGAAGATTTCGATCGCGGTTTCAGAACACGTCTCAATCTGAAAGCGGTGAATTTTTTAAATTTTCCGATGAAGCAAAAAAAAATTGGAGGGCGATGACAGAACTCATTCCGTGTCCATATTGACGCTTGAGAGCTTGGTAATCTTGGTAAGTATTATTCTGCTTTTTTTTTTTAAATGGCGATTCCTGTTCGTGGCTCCTACGTCTTATGGGGAGCACGAATGCAATTTCCTGATTGTAGAAAACAGCTGAGTTTTCCTTACAACAGCACCTTAAGGCTTAAGGTGGCATAAAAATGTCCGAGCTGCTGGCTTTGTACGGCAAAATATGTATGGGCAATATACGTGGGCAATACGGAAATGTCCTATAGGAAACCTATAGTTATTTCTTATAGGAAACCTATAGAGTTTTCCATTGGTTTTTGAAACACGAAAAACCAATAGGATCCTTTAGGATCCCAATAGGGTCTTATAGGTCTCCTGACCTATAGGATTCGGGGAGGATATTTGAGGTTTCGAAACCCAGGCATAACGACGGAAGAGGCGACCGGGGTTAATATAGGCGCAGCATTTCGGTGTAAATAAAAAACCGATAGGGGTTTCTCCATGGTAGGGACACATGCATTATTAATACCAATACTGCGGGGGTGTGCATAATTCATGGCTCCCCCTATAAGTTCTATAGGGAACTCTATAGGTTCAATAGGGGACTCTATAGTTTCTATAGGGGACTCTATAGGTCCCAAACTGAACTCTATGGGGCATATAGGATCCTATAGGGTTCCTTTAGGATTCCTATATATTCCTTTAGGAATATATAGGAATCCTATAAGACATTTTCGTAAGGGCCCCTTTCACCCTCTTGGTTCCTTATGGATTCCTATATATTCCTTTAGGAATATATAGGAATCCTATAAGACATTTTCGTAAGGGCCCCTTTCACCCTCTGGTGTAAGCACCAGGTGGTGCGCACTTTTCGCGAATAACCCTATCCCGCCGTCAAGATAAAGATCCTGCCTCTCGCGGTCACTTGCCACCAAGGGGAAGTTTATATCAATTATCAATCAGTTATGGGTGATTTGTGGGAATCTACCATTTGTTTCCTAGGTCGTCGAGCGGAAAACGCCAGGAAAAGATCCACGAGACGCGATTTCGCGGATCCCGCGCGTCCCGCCGCGTTTCGTCGCAGCATGTCGAACTGCACATTCCGCGGCGGATCCGCGGCGAAAACGGCACGAATCGTCGTCGAAACCAACCGGACGAGAAGGCACACAGTCGATGACTGACCTTCCCCCCGAATCTGCGTGGAATATGGAATCGCTAATTATCACACGTCGATCGATTATCGTGCGATGATTATCGCAGAGTGTTGTTGACACGCTCGAGTAGCAGAGCCCTTTGGGAAAATAGGGCTCTTGACATAAAAAGGACTTTCTCTTTATCGACACGCTGCGACGGGCAGGATATTGATGGTTGCACTCTTTCGTGGCCTGGCGACGGCCGACGTTGCACCTTTGATCCCCCGATCAGCCGACGTTGCACCTTTGATCCCCCGATCAGCTGACTCGGACTTGGACGGTGGCGGAGGAGTGATGCAGCGCTGGCAGGAAGGAACTGGGTTCGAAGAAACTTGGACATTCGTGCAAACGTTTTTTAATGTGAATTTTTTAATGTAATCATTATTTTCTTTTGCAGCCTTACCTTATGCACGTTACAATTTATGTTGGGGAAAACTGAAATGCTGGGGAAAATCGTTACATGACGCTGATCCATTCCTTTGTCAGGGAGCATGCCTTCCTGCCACGTCTCATTAGCAGGCATTTTTTTGGTTTATTTAGTTTCACTTCGAAAATTCTAAGCTGGAATTATTTGCGAAAATCCTTGGAGGGCACCTTCGGCTGGATTAGGGAGAATGGTTTGTCGGACGTGAAGTGAAAAAGAGGCGGCATTGCATCGAAATACAGTCCATGTTGTCAAAAATCACAAAAATTTCATTACAAGAGCGTTTTCAGCTGAGGTTATTGAGAGTGTTGAGTTGAGATTACTAAAAAAATTCCAGATGAGCACCACCTTCGCCTTTCATGCTCTGCGATATTAGAGATTCTGAAGTCGTAAAAAAAAAAAAAAAAAAAAAAAACAGTCGGACGGGTCGTTGTGCATGAAGAATCTTTCATGCACTTGTCACGGATGAGGTTCGTGTTGGGTCTGAAGGTCCGTTTTGAATGCTTCCCTGTGCGAGCAAGAATTGGATCATATCGTCCTCCCCAGCCTGATTGGAGGGGCAGGCATCGCGCCCGAACGCAGGAGTTTCGCAGCGAGTTTCTTCGTGACGGACTTGAGTCTCTTCTCGATCTCGTCCACGCGCAGGGGCCCAGTTACCATTGCTCCAGTTACCATTGCTCTCTGGTACCCGAGCGCATCCATCACAGCCCCGCACTCGCGTTCGATGAGGTTCGTCTCCCTCTCGCTCAGATCCCGTTTCCAATGGTGGAGGTCGAACACGGACAAGTTCCTGTACGTGGAATAATACTTGTTCGAGGGTTGCATCGTCTTTGGTTCTTCTGCGAAGTGGGCCAAGACACGGTCGTCTCCGTCTGATGGCCAGGGGATTCCCATGAATCGATAGAGATTTCGCATGACCTCGACTGGATTCGACACCAACTCCTCGTAGCTCACTCTCCGCCATCTGGATAAGTGGGGAAATTAATCATCGAAGCGCACATTGTAAACACGTTATTCGAATATTGCAACCTCCAGCAGTGGTATCGTAAAATATGGTAATTTTCCCTGTTTTTTCCTTGGGCTTCTCATGATAACTAGGCGCTGGAGTCCAGGTTAATTTTTACTATATTACCACCCAGAACCTCATTCCATGTGCATGAAGCTGACACCCTCGATTGAGCGCTGATTGCCGCTCAAGGCTCTGTCATTAATCTGTGCGATTTCAAGACGACGTTACCATTTCTTCCGGAAAAAAAGGCTGAAAACAGACGCGTCATTGATTTTTGGATTCTCGGAGTGAAGCCACTAGCATTATATTAACAATGACAATAGGTCTCGTATCTTCCTAAAAGTGAAAATTTCCCTTTCCTTGCGTTTTTATAATTAAAAATATGGAATCCTTGGGAAATGAACCCTTAGTCGCGCATTTGACGGCTTGTTTCGACAACTACATATATCCCCTCGTGGGTGAAATATTTCCGTTATGAGAGAGAATGAAGGCAACTACCGATTGGAGGGAAGACTGTCGATGGCGAGTATGTCGTGCCCAATCTGATCGCACAGCTGCCAGGAATCCTTTACGAAGTCGTCTGTCAGCGGCGCGATGCGCAAGGAGTTGAGCATCCCGCGAGGGTCTCGGACCCAGTGCACCACCTGAAACAGGAGGTCGGGGATGTTCGTGACTTTCGAATCCTCGTCTCTCTCTGGTTCTCCGGACATTCTTAAGCATCTCGATTCTTAAGCATTCTTAAGCGATCTTGCATCTCAAACTAGTTTTCACTGTGAAGGGAATGGATGCTGATCGAATTACCACTTCGCACATGAGTTTGAATTGATTCTTGACTTCGAAGTGTCTCGTGAATGAATCTGAAGGAGCGATACCTGAAGTTGGTTTACCGCCGACTTTGAA